GACATAGATGCACACAGAGATATACTGTTACTTGTTTCCTTCTGTTTCTAACCTCTATTTTTCTTTCTTTCTTTCTTTCTTCTTTTTACTTCCCAGAATCCCTCTCGGTTTAGTATCTTTTCTTCTCTCGTATATTTTCCTCCTATTACTTTGTTAGTCTTTTTAGCCTGGCGGGAAGAACACTTTCTTCACCACAAAGACTACTACTCCCATTAATGGCAAAATCCCCACCCCCAGTACCTTGGTTGGCGAAGGGTGTGGTGACGAAGTATATCGCCACAGAGTGAATATCGGTTCGAAGCTGAAATAAGGCGAAAGAGATCAGTAAAGTTATATTGGTGCAACAGCCAACTGGCAAAGAATTAAGCGACACAGGTTCAAGTCCTGGCCTTTCCGAGCAGATGATATTTCAAACAGTGAATATTATAAAATCTCAAACAAAACAATTTTAAACGAAGATTACACATTTTAAGAACTATCCATATAACTATTCAAATTATTTGCACGCGGACTATTTAACTCATCTTTTTGTGCTATGATCACAACATTCCTAGACGTTTTGGCATCCGGAATTCGTCGGTAGACAGGTAGCTTTTGGTTACATACTGCGATATCTTGCGAACCCTGCAATTCAAATTAATGTAACTTGACATCATGTGTAAAACGGTTACATAGAGCTAGACCGCACTGGAGAAGGATATAGCAAATGTTTAACCGTATTATCAATTCGTACGCATATTAAATATTTTACATGCGCTTTAAAATACAACCTCCTATGGTGAAAGATATTTAATACAAGTTGTCTTATTTGATTATAATAGATTCTAGAATTAAATTAAACGGCACTTGATTATATATATATATATATATATATATATATATATATCTTAAAATTTATTCATATAGACAAAAACAATTTACTCATGACAAAAGATGCATTTAGTTGCAACTCGACTGGTGAGAACTAAAATGGCTATCTTTTAGTTCTCATTACATTCCGTCATATATATATATATATATATATATATATATATATATATATATATATATATATATATATATATATATATATATATATATAGTTAAATAATGAAATGTTAGGTAATCCGTATGGATGGATAATCACAAGGAGAATGTCATCCAGAGACCTCAATGTAAAAACAGAGCGAATATTAGTTTAATTAAAACAGTTTAGTTAAAACAGACAACCTTAAGGCAATGGACCCTTAATGTTGTCTGTTTTAATTAAACATATATATATTGCTTACATTATTTACATTATTCGGACTGTTATTCTAATCTTCATTGCAATATTCACAACTTCTTGGCCGTTGTACACTCCGGCCGTCTTCAGGTTTTTGAAATTTCGAACCGAACCACTTAACTCATCCAGCAGGGTAGATTGATCTAGTTCCACGTGCCATGACTCTTCCGGGTGTCTCCGTTATTTCCCTTTGACTCGAGTATCCAAATTTTGGTTCACCACTGTTGTAGTCTGGTATTGAACACCCAACTCTACCCCAGTGGACAAAATAAAGGGGTCAATTCGAAATTCCAGTCACTCGAAGCAGGCTAGAGCGTACAACGGCCAAAATCTTGTAAATAAGGCAATGAAGATGAGGATAACAGCCCGAATAATGTAAATAATATAAGTACTCATAATAACTCATCTCTGATATATATATATATATATATATATATATATATATATATATATATATATATCTAACAAATTTCTCAAATATTCAGGCCGGTAGATGTAATATATACTGTTTAATAAATAAATTAAAAACACAAAAAACAGAGCATTTACTCAAATATATGTCAGTTAGTTATGAGCCATGCGTGATACACGCTTAGACGATCATGTATCTTTTGATACATGAATGACAAGGCAGATTTTTTTCCCGCAGTAGGTTGCCATTTCTTTCTCCGGTAGAGCAGTTGCCCTCCATGGCTATAGAACTCGATCTGTCCTGTTAGTTACCCATAGCTGGAGGGAGAAGAAGAGGATTCATACCTTTCCCAAGGGTATTAGCATGTAAGTGAATGTAATGGATTCGACTGGAATTCGAACTCTGCTCTCCGATTCCTCAATTCATTTACAAAATGTTTAAGCAAATAAATTTAAAATATGTCGGATTTAAAAAAAAAGTTTGTTTCCGTTAGGATAGCAAAACAAAACAGATATGTATATTTCGAGAATCGGGAAGTATGTTTTCAAAAGCACTATTCGGTCTTTGTTTGATCAGGAGGTCCTACCTGCCCGCGTTATATAAGCCACAACAGATCTAATGACCGTTTCTAGGGGACGCAGGTTCGAATCCTGCAGGAGGACGGATATTTTTTCCTACAATATTTATCGAACATTCAGGCCAGTAGACGTATATAAATAAATCTACTGTTTAATAAATAAATAGCATCTACTCAAATATTAGTATCCATTTATAAATTAATATATGTATGTATATATGTGTATACTAATTTCTTATAATAAAACAGTATGTATGTATGAAGAGGGAATGTACATATACATATGCATATTAACAAAAACACACGATACAAAAATGGAAAATAGATCTAAGAACAAACAGGGATCATTATGAGATGAGAATACATATATCTTTCTTCACCTTTTCTGGGAGCAACTTTAATTGTTTTATTTACCCTTTAAGCAGAAGAATTTTCTCACTGCCAGTCGAAGAAAGACATTTATGTCACTACTACGCAAAAAGAGAATGCTTAACAGCGAGAATATTTGACATCGAAAATTGATAAGGAAAATTAATTCATTTTCATAATATGTGGAAATATTCACTCTTTGCCTGAAGAAAATCGCGAGGCTCGAAACCCGTGTTGCAAAATTATGGAAAATAAAGCATAATATATATTTAAAAAAATTTACAATACAACCAAAAACGTTTGCGGATTCTCTCTTCTTTCTAATATATACATTTTTTCTCGTTGGAACTTCTTTTTCCTATATATATATATATATATATATATATATATATATATATATATATATATATATATATATATATATATATAGTCAGTTAGTTATGAGCCATGAGGATGGATATATATATATATATATATATATATATATATATATATCTTATAATTTTTTCATATAGACAAAAACAATTTACTCACGACAAAGATGCATTTAGTTGCATTATACAGAGATGTATATTTATATATATTTTTTGTCTTTCTTAATGTGCTATGTGTCTATATATCTATCTCTATATATTTATATGTGTGTGTGTTTCGTGCATTTAGGCAGCAAAGTCTCTTTTAGGCATGTCTGATTTAATAAATTAGAGACATTACAGATTTTGTTAGAAATTAGCAGACATAATGTCTATAATTTATACAGTCAGACACAATGAGTTAATGGGTGTGAAACTGGGAAAACGATATTGATAAAGGGCAATAAAAGAACAGGTTCCAAGGAGACAGAATATGAGGATTAACAGGAAAGCAAGGATTTTTACAATTTTTTTTAATCATTTCACTCCAAGTAAGGCAATAAAGTCACTAAGAACCAAAGGGTTACTTAGTGTAAGAGAATAAGAAACGAAAAAATGAAGAACAGAGAAAAACATAAATAAAGAAGACAGAAGTTAACGATTGACATTGCTTTAAATTTTTGAAGTTCAAAGTTGACTGGAATGCAAGAAGCCTACGTGCGAGAAGTACGAGAGAAGAAACTGTTAGTATAGAACTTACGGTTGTATCTGGCAATTTCAACTTTGACATTTGAAGATCAACGAAATGCCTGTATAAATAAAAGCCCTTAGTGCTATGTATCGTATTTTTGAGTCTATAAGGCCACATTAATGCATCTATAACTTCGACAATCATTCAGAATTGAATGGACAGAGTGTATTTGGAGATATTTGACATGTATATAGAGTTAAGAGTGAATATAAACCTTCAGTTGATGTGGACTGCTTTCGATATCCACACTGTACCATACATTTCGCCACCGGATCAAAAAAAAAAAAAAAAAATTCGTCGCGTCCAAAATAAATCACAGGACAATATTGCTATCTATATTTATATATATATATATATTTTCTTAATGTGCTATCTATCTATCTCAGTCTGTTCTTATATATATATATATATATAAATATATATATATATATATATATATATATATATATATATATATATATATATATATCATCCTTTTGTCTTCAGAGACGATCGAACCTGGCGCACCTAGACATATCGAAGACTGTCTTCAGCTTCAATTTCCATTGCTCTCATCTGCTACAGTAAAACAAGATCGTTGCAATCCTTGACCCTCATTGTTCAGAATGACGGAAACAGCAAACACATTTCCCTCCAACCTCGACTTGACGAGTAACCGACGATATTTGCGGCAAAGTGCGCGGTCAGTGGGGCATCTTTATTCCGCTGGTCAATACCTCTGGCTTTAATCACACGGTCTGTAAACTTACATCGATCCTGTTAGCCTCGTCTGTCGAGCTGAGAAGTAACAGCTTTTGCGCATGCGTGTATATAGCAGGATATAATGAGAGGCTAATCAGTGCATTGTTTGAAATTAGATGAAACCAGCCTGCTGTATGGACGCAGATGACAAATATCGTCGTCAGTTTACACACACACACACACACACACACACACACACACACACACACACACACACACACACACACACACACACACACACATATATATATATGAATAAAGACAAAAGGAAATGTTATCTTAGCCTTGGCTAAGATAAGTTTTTCCTTTTGTATTGTCCTTTACTGATATACTATATTTGAACTTTTACATACATATACGTACATACGTACACACGCACACACATACACACATTATATATATATATATATATATATATATATATATATATATATATATATTCCAACATCTGTGTATACATTCATTTGTGCATAACAAGAAAATGTCATTATTCTTATTGTATTAAACTTTATATATATATATATATATATATA